GTCTACGGGGTCGTCCCTGTGACCCGTCTATCTTGCCCGTCGGTCAGTGTGTCTTATAGGAGATCTATTCTTTCTACGTTAAATCCGGCCATTTAAAGCCCCGGTAATGCGTCTATCTATCTGCCCTAGAAAGCACCTTCAGTGGCCATCTGAGGAGTGACCACTTTGAGTGTATTCCTGACCCTATAGAGTTAAAACCACCATCTAGCCACCCTGAGCCCCTCATCATTAAATATAGAAATCTTACTTGTATTCAAGTCTGGAGCTGCTAGCTCTGGCTCTGTTTCCTTTAGACCTGCCCACTGCCTGCTGACATCAGCAGAAGTGGTGGCCTGATCCAATCATAATGCTTCCCCATAGGATTGCCTGAACCTGAGACTGACAAAGAGGCAGATCAGGGGCAGAGCCAGCACAGTTCAAACACAGCCCTGGCCAATCAGCATCTCCTCATAGAGATGAATTTAATCAATGAATCTCTATGAGGAAAGTTCAGAGGATGGAGACACTGAATAATTGGATGCATTTTAGGCAGCCATGACCCAGGAAGGATCTCTAACAGCCATCTGAGGAGTGGCCAGTGGCGTTATCACTGGCTGTAATGTAAACACTGCATTTTCTCTGAAAAGACAGTGTTTACAGCAAAAAGCTTGAAGGTAATGATTCTACTCACCAGAACAAATTCAATAAGCTGTACTTGTTCTGGTGACTATAGTGTATCTTTAATTCTGCATGTTGGGTCACAGTATTGTCCTGACATTGTCAAAGTCACTCAGATCTTTTTGCTTGCCCATTTTTCCTGTTTCCAGCACATGGAATTCAAGAACACAAGAAATTCAACTAACTGTTCAATTGCTGCTTAATATATCCCACCCCTTGACCATTGTAATGATATAACCAATGTCCCTTTATTTGTCAGTGGTTTTAATGTTAATCAGTGTAGTGTTAAGCCCGACCATTCTGAGGACAGGTAGGACGCTCTCTGTCTCAGGTTTGCGTGTTAGCTTGTACGATCCTGACAAGGTTTCAGCATTTAAAAATAACAACCTCATGCATTCACCGATTCACTGATAACACGCAAAGTATTTGGGGCCAAACCTGCTGTGTAAGTTAAATGTTCACTTGCATCTAAGACTCTACCAATGCTAATTTACAATGTAATGACCATTGCTCACACTTGATGAGCTTGAACTTTCCAGATCCATATTCCTAAAGTACCCACTATCAATTTTAATCTAAATGGCCTGGTGTACACCTGTTGTCTGACAAGAAATATCTTATGACCTTGAAAGGTGAAACTGGCCCTTTTATTAATAATACACCATGGGCTCAGTTGATTGACAAAGACCTATGAAAATTAATTATTCAGGCTTCTTATTTGTAACTTACTTTTGCAGAAACCATTACATGTTTTTTGTGAATAAATGTTGTAATTTACATACGTTCAGAATTATCTGGATTTCTTTCTGTTTCATTGTTGCATTGACAGAAAATCACTGTGGTCTTATCTAGCTGAAAATCAGAAAACATCTAATGCACTAGTGATGCACTAATTTATGAGTTTGGGATCTTTTTTGTGCATTTCTACTGCTTGGACGTCATATTTTTCTGTCCTGACTACTCTCCATAATTTGTATTCTTTATTAGAACTGTCTTCCCAAGTGCTGTGAAGAGAGACCCCTTTGGCACTAGGAAAAGCCCAATTGAACTATTTTGGAGAATTAGTTTTAGTATAAAATTGCAACAACAAAAAACCAAAACAGAATTAAGGTAAATTACAAAAAAAAAGGTTAGTAATCCCCATCCAAAAGGTCAGGTTTCGACCATACATACCCTCCAGACCTAAACCCCCCTGCAGATGCACACCTGTATGTCTCGGCTTGGGAGAGGGACTTGGGCCCGCCAGATGACCCACCAGATTGGGGGGAGATATGGGAAGCCACAGTGACCCTAACCATCTGCATCAACCATAAAGAGCAAGAATACAAAACAATGCTGCAATGGTACCTGACTCCCCTCAGGCTAAAACAAATGGGCCGCTGGGACTCGGATGTCTGTTGGAAGGGTTGTGGCCACCTTTAGAGGGAATGCCCAGAAATAACACAGCTGTGGTGCGACATCTCCCAACTAAGTCCTATTAGTTCCCCCCCAGGCATCTCATTAGTGTCCCAACTGGGGCTGGGGGGGGACACTAATGAGATGCCTGGGGGGGAACTAATAGGACACCTGGGGATTTTGGGGGGGGGGAAACTAATGGGAAACCTGGGGGCCGGGGGTAAATGATGGGACACCTGGGGGGAACTAAAGGGACACATGGGGGGAACTAATGGGACACCTGGAGGCTGTGGAGGTAGCTAATGAGACACCTGGGGCAGGAACTAAAAGGACACATGCGGGTGCGGTGGACTAATGGGACACATGGGGGTGAGGGGGACTAATGTGACACCTGTGGGCTGGGGAGGAAACTAATGGGACACCACGGGGCTGGGGGAGAAACTAATGGGACAAATGGGGGCTAGGGGGGAAACTATGGGATACCTGGGGGGGGACTAATGGGATACATGGGGCTGGGGAACTAATGGGACACATGGGGCCGGGGAACTAATGGGACACCTGGGGAGACAACTAATGGGCCCCCAGGTGTCCCAACTAATGGGACACCTGGGGGCTAGGGGGGAAACTAACAAGACACCTGGGGGCTGGGGGTCTAATGGGACACCTGGGGCTGAGGGGGGACTAATGGGGCACATGGGGGGAACTAATGGGACAAATGGGGGCTGGGGGGAACTAATGGGACACCTGGAGGCTGTGGGGTAGAGCTAATGGGACACCTGGGGCGGGAACTAATAGGACACATGGAGGTGGGGTGGACTAATGGGACACATGGGGGTGAGGGGGACTAATGGGACACCTGTGGGCTTGGGGGAATACTGATGGGACACCACGGGGCTGAGGGGATGGGACGACTAATGGGACACCTGGGGGCTGGTGGAGAAACTAATGGGACACATGGGGGCTTGGGGGGAAATGATGGGATACCTGGGGAACTAATGGGATACAGGGGTTGGGAACTAATGGGACACATGGGGGGAACTAATGGGACACCTGGGGAACTAATGGGACATCTGGGGGCTGGGGAGACTACTAATGGGACACCTGGGGGCTAGGAGGGAAACTAATGGGACACCTGGGGCTGGGGGGGGGACTAATGGGGCAAATGGGGGCTGGGGGGAACTAATGGGACACATGGGGGGTGGGGGGGCTATAGGGACACATAAAAGGCTGGGAGAGGGTATAGGGACACATGAAGGGCTGGGAGGGGGGTAGATGGACCCATGAAGGGCTAGGAGGGGGTATAGGCACACATGAAAGGCTGCAGAATAGGAATGCATGGAGAGCTGGGAGGGGCTATAGTAAGGCACATGGAGGTCTTGAATCGGAATGAGACACATGGAGGGCTGGGGGAATGGATTGACACACATAGAGGACTGGGGTGATGGATTGAGAAACATGGAGGGGTGGGGGGCTTATGAGACACATGTAAGGCTGGAGAGGGTGGAATGAGACACATGGAGGGCTGGGAGGGGGGCTATAGGGACACATGGGGTGGCTAATGAGACACATGGAGTGCTGGGGGTCTAATAAGAGGGTGGAATGAGACACATAGAGGGGCAGGGGAGTAAAAAGACAAATGGAGAGCCTGGGGAGAAAAAAAACGACACAGAGTGGTCTAGGGAGAAAATGACAGAGGGGCAGGGAAAGGGGAACAGGAGACACATAGAAAGGCTGGGGAAGGGGGGAAAGATACAAAGGGGCTGAGACACATGAAAGGGGCTTGGGGGAGAAAAACACAAACAAAATGCATCTTCACTTGTGTCTCCTGCTCTCCCTATAATGTAGAGTCAACCGGTGAGAGAAAGTTTAATGTAGTGGTTCTAGTGTCTATAGCCTGTCCCTGTAAGATGATTACTGTAACTGCTACCTTTTCAGAGAAAAGGCAGTGTTTACATTGCTGCCTAGGGTCACTCAGATGGACACTAGAGCTGCTTCCTAGTCCACTGCTGCACAGTGTGCAGCACGCTCTGCATGGAGGCGCTGAACGCTCTCCATAGAGATGCCTCCCAATGCTTTCCTATGGGAATTAAATTGGTGTTGACTGAGATCATCCAGTTGTCAGCCAAAGTGAAGAGCACACTCTTGTTACTTCGAACTAAGCAAGATAACTTCATTTTTTTTACTGCTGTGCAATAGCATACATTCACAATTTCAATCTGTGGTGAAACCAACCTCGCCACTGTACACTGGAGAAGCCTGGTTGCTCGCCTGCTGCCTTTGGACTATGGCCCCATGTTAAAAGACATCTTTTTTCCCTGCAGAAAAGACTTATTCGTGCTTTTCTGTCGGGTGTTCGGTAGAGTCAATCTACCGAACAACCGCACGAATGAATAGACCACCTGGGAGTTGGAGTGTGCCGGCAATTAACCTCCCTGAAGCTGCGGTTTACCGCAGCTTAATTGACGAATGCTGGGTCGACGCCATTCGTATCATGAACACGAGGTCACGCCCATTTTAAACATGCGAATGCACAGCGGTGTTCGACGCTTAATTCATGGAACTGAAATCGGACACAGTTTTGCGCGAACAACGCTGATGCCGCCGACCTCCCTTCTTGTTCGGTGAAAGTGCACAAACGGCCCGGTGTTCGGTAGTTTTGTTTGAGTGTGTTGTTTGTGCCCCAGATAGGAATCCCATGGAGCCCATTCACATGAAACTGACTGTGTAAAGACTTTGGCTCCATGGCGATTAAACTGTATTTTTGTGGTCTGAGCGCCATTCACTTAATAATGTGCGCTCAGACCTGAGCTATCTGGGGATATGTAGAACATATATGTTTTATGTACTGAATGTAACTGTAGGTAATTTTATGTATTTTACTGTTTGTTTTCTGCCATGTGGTTAATGGAGTTTAGCCTCTGTCTTTGGAGATAATTGAATTACTGCCCAATTATCTCCAGGGCAGAGAGGAGGGATTGTGATGCATTGTGGGATGGTTGAAATGTGTAAGTCTGTGATTGGTCCTTTTACCCTTTGTGTCCCAGTCTCCCATTTGGTCCCCTAGGGGAGACCTGCATAAAAGCCGGGCAGTTAGCCCCAGTAAATCAGTTCCTGCTTAACCCTCAAAGTGAAGTGTTGTCTCATTATTGGGGGAGGATTTATTGTATGCTGTTCCAGTTTGACTGCTAGGAGTGTAAACCTATTCGCATGGTTTTTCCTATTCGGCTGTATACAACATTCATATGCTTGAGAGCCTTCATATGCTTCTCTGGTTCGGTGGTTGTGGTGTCTGCTGCAGTGCTTGGAGTCCTCAGGAAGCGCTAGGAGCATCCTTCAACGGAGGTACCCAGTCGGGGTGCCAGGTGATCCGTTACACAGTCCAATTCCGAAACTTTCCTTAATATGTCAAGGTAGTTGGACTGAAACATTGATTATATGCAAATGCATGTCTGCTTACAACACATCCGCTCTTTTGTTTATTTTGAAGCCCTATGAGTTTTCAGGTTTTTTTTTCCCCGCTTTCATATCTGCACACTATGCTGGCGCGATGCATTATGGGGCTCGTATAGAATTTTTTTCCAGGGCTGTTTTTCATTCCCAGTCCAGCCCTGGCAAGGAACCTTACTTCCACTCCCCCCAACTTCCCCCTCTCCCTCCCCTCCTTTACAGTCTTCTAAAGCCCACCCCAATTTTACATTGGCAGGACACGCAACACGATGCCTGCACTCACACTACATTGGCCACAGATCATCTTTACTGTTTCACCTATTATCATCCCAACAAGGCTAATGTCTCATGACACACGCAGAGGTAATGCGAGTGGAGGACCCCGGGGGAACCGCAGCCGGGGCTACGGCCCACAAAGTAGCCCCGGGAAGCAGAACTCCCTCCTCGGAGGCTCCCGGTGGGAATGAGGTATATCCAAATACCCCCATTGGAACCACACACAGTGTGCCACAACCCATCTATTTAGAGCATGCACTGCCACCCAGATATTTCCATGCTGCCGACTGTAACGTATTCCATGTACTGAACATCTCTGTTTTAACCTTGTTATCCCCTAAATGTTTTTGTTAACATTGTTTTCCTTTGGACTTACCAAAGTTGTGTTATGTATACATTGCAATGAAAATACAAAACCTGAAATAAAGAATTAAAAAAATTTAAATAAAGTTAGAAACACCATTGAAACACATCTGAATAAAAAATGTTCCCAGGAGATGTCAGAAAACCATCTAAGCTATTTATTAGAACCAGGCCCGGACTGGCCATCAGGCACACCGGGCATTTGCCCTTTGGGCCGCGATGCCCATGGCCGAGGCCAGCAGGGGAGGTCACAGGATCTCCCCTGCCGGTCTATGCACGGCTCACGCTATCCCAGCACCAACCCTTTATTCCATGACGGGTCGGTGGGGAGATCAAAGATCTTTCACACCGGCCCACAGGCAGTGTAATGAGGCCGTCGGCGGGGGAGGGAGACAAGACAGGACCCTGAGGAGCTCTATCTTGCAGATCCGCGGATTCCTCTTGCGAGATCACAGGCTAGAGTTCACTCACCACAAGGCCCACCTTCCAGGCAAAAGGTAAGAAGGGAAGGGGGATACAATGCTTGCCTTTTTGTTTTTTCAAATAAAAAAAAAAGAAATACATATATATCGACATTAACCTGGCTCCCCCAACACACAATCCCTTCACACACAGCAAACTAAAACACACATACACACACATACCACTCTCTCATACACACACATACACAAAGCATTCTCTCACAGAGACACACACACAGAGTATCCTCTCACACACACACACAGCAGCCTCTCTCAAACACACAGCACTCTCTCACACACTGCACCCTCACACACACACACAGCATTCTCTCTCTATCACACACAGCACTCTCACACACACACAAAGCATCCTCTCACACACACAGAGCACTCTCTCACACACAGTGCACCCTCACACAATCAGCATCCTCACACACACACACACACACACCAGGGCCGTCTTTAAAGCATTCTCTCACACACACACAAAGAGTATCCTCACACACACACACACACACACAGCAGCCTCTCTCACACATACACTCTCACACACACACACACACAGCAGCCTCTCTCAAACATGCACTCACACACACACACACACACAGCATCCTCTCACACACACACAGCACTCTCTCACACTGCACCCTCACACACACACAGCATTCTCTCTCTCTCACACACACAGCATCCTCTCACACACACACACAGCACTCTCTCACACTGCACCCTCATACACACACACACACACACACAGCATTCTCTCTCTCTCACACACACACACACACACACACAGCACTCTCACACACACACACACACACACAGCACCCTCTTACACACACACTGCACCATCACACAATCAGCATCCTCACACACACACACCAGGGCCATCTTTAACGTGGGGCAAACGGGGCCCAGTTACTCCTGGAGGGCCCGAAGCAGCTGCACCGTGGGCCCCGCTGGCCTTAACCATTTCTCCCCCCCCCCGGCCGGTAACATGAACACTAAGAAGGCCTACCATGTGGGCTTCTGTCAGCAGAGACCCGGTCGCACGCTGAGGCACTTTAACAGCGCGACGAGCCCCTTGCTTTTCGGCAGCTTCCGGCTGCGCGTCACTTCCTCCCACAAAGAGACGAGCACGCGCCAGAGCGAAAAGTAGGCAACTCCCAACACCTTCAGCCACCTGCAGGAAAGCCAGCCTCCAAGGTAGGAAACTGGAGAGTGGGTCTAAAAGTGTAAATTTTGTGTGTGTGTCAGTATGTCTGCCAGTGTGTGTGTCAGTATCTCTGTTTGTGTGTCACTATATCTGTGTGTATCAGTATGTCTGTGTGTGTGTGTGTGTCAGTATGTCTGTGTGTGTGTGTCAGTATGTCTGTCAGTGGCTGTCAGTGTGTGTCTTAGTATGTCTATATGTGTCAGTATGCCTGTAAGTGTGTGTGTCAATATGTCTGTCAGTGTCTGTGTGTGTGTGTGTGTCAGTATGTCTGTCAGTGTGTGTGTGTGTGTGTGTGTCAGTTTGTCTGTCTCTATATGTGCTAGTATATCTGTTAGTGTTAGTGTGTATATATGTACGTGTATCTGTATGAAGTCTTTGTGTTCATCTGTATGTTGTCTTTGTGTGTTTCGGTGTATCTATATGTGAGTCTGTGTGACAGTGTGTATATCTGTGTGTCTGCATGTGTTTCAGTGTGTATATATCTCTGTGTGTGTGTGTGTGTGTGTATATGTGCATACATCTCAGCATTCACACACTAACATTACAAATACACCCCTGCATTCAAACTTCAACACTATGTACAAACACACATCTGTGTTACACACCAAATTTTATGTAAATACACCCCTGCATTCAAAAAACAACACTACACATAAATACATGCTTGCAATCACGCCAACACCACATATTATTATTATTATTCTTTAATTATTTATATAGCGCCATCAGATTCCATAGCGCTGCACAATGGGTGGACTAACAGACATGTAATTGTAACTAGACAACTGGATGTACAGGAACAGAGGAAGTGGAGGGCCCTGCTCAATGAGCTTACATTCTAGATGGAGTGGGGTATAGTGTAAAAGTAAAAGGGTAAAAGTAGAGGTACGAAGTAGGTTGTTAGAAAAGTATTCACTGAGGGCTTAGTAGGTTATTTTTGACAGTTGCAGGAGAGCAGTCATGGGGGAGTGGGGGATAAAAACTTGCTAATAGTTTAATTGATATGCTTTCTTGAAGAAGTGAGTTTTCAATGAAAGTCTTACGGAGAAGGGAAGGGAGTTCCACAGAAGAGGTGCAGCCCTTATTCCTTACTCCATACAAAAACCTGTTTACATTCAAACACACAAAAACAGCTTAGAGCTAAATACAGACTTGCAAACATAGGTAAATGGTAGAGCCCCAGCTGTCAATGCATTTCTGGAGTTGCATGACAGATGGGGATCTACCTTTTAATCACCTGTGCGATAGGGAGGCCTAAAAAATTCTTGCACCTCTCTACTCTAGGTCCGCCACTGTGTTGGGGTGGAGGACGTAATTGCACGCCTGGGGAGGGGGGACAGCGTCCAGGGGGCCCAAGCAAATGCTTTGCCCAGGGTCCAGTCAATATTAAAGATGGCCCTGACATACACACACACAGCACTCTCTCACACACACACACCGCACCCTCACACACGCACACACACAGCACTTTCACGCACATTGCACCCTCACACACACTACTCCCTCACACACGCTGCACCCTCACACATGCTGCACCCCTCACACACGCTGCACCCCTCACACACACTGCTGCCTCACACACACTGGACCCTCACACACACTGCACCTCTAACCCACACTACACCCCTAACACACACTGCACCCCTCAAACACACTGCAAACCTCACACACACTGCCAAGCCCGGACTGGCCATCGGTTACTGTGGCAACGCTACGGATCTCTTGAGAGTAAATTCATCCACCGAACCACCAGGGCTTCTCCACTGGACCACCAGGGCTGCAATCTCCCCCCTCCCTGGGCAAAGGTAAGAAGAGGGGGGGGGGATATAACTAAAAAATGAAATTACATACATGGCTACTTATGTTAATTTTAAATACATGGGTTATTTATAAAAATATATATATATATATATATATACATATTTGCCTATATCTGCACCCTCACATACACACACTGCACCACACCATACACACACAGCACCACAGAAACACACAGAGCACCCTTCACACAAATGCTGTACCACACACACACACACACACACTCTGCACCAAAGACACACATAGTGCACCCTTCACACACACACTACATCACACACACACACAGTGCACCCTTTACACACATACTACTTCCCTCTCTCTCTCTCTCTCTCTCTCTCACACACACACTGCACCACATACAAATACAGTGCATCCTTCAAACACACTGCACCCCTCACACACATACTGCACCCCTCACACAGTGCACACCACACACTGCACCCCTCACACACACTGCATCCATCACACACACTGCACCCCTCACACACACAAACTGCACCACACACAAACACAGTGCATCCTTCACACACACACTGCACCTGTCACATACACTGCACCCCTCACACACACAAACACAGTAGTGCATCCTTCACAAACACTGCAACCCTCACACACACAC